GTAATATAACCGACATATTCTTTAATTGATTCAACCTAAACAAAATAAAAATAAAAATAAAAAAATTTCAAAAAATAATAACATTTCATTACTTGTTCATCAAGAAATTCGTCTTCAAGATAATTTGTAAGATGCGGATCACTAAAACAAAAACAAAAAAAGGATTATCATTAAAAATATACCCAACTCGCATACTCATGTTTGGAAGCAGATGCATGTAATTCAAGCAATGCTTGATAAACATCCTTTTCTAATTGTAATGCCATTTCATGAGCTTCTAAAGGTGAACTCCAACTTTGTTGTTGTGGTTTCTAAATTTAGAAGAAAAAAAAAAAGTTGCTTTTATTTTAATAACAGTAATCAAACCTTGATATCTAAAAATACAATAGTACCACCACGTTTATTTTGATATTTCATAAATTTATTTGCATGTTCATTTTCTTCTTTTGACATTTTTTCAAAATATTCCTGATGTCCTAAATAATGAAAAATTTTTTGAAAAAATAATCATTTTTGTTTTTGGATCTTACCTTTTAAAGCAACATCTGCACGACTAAAATGATGTGCCATAGCCATATAAACATAACTAGCATATAATTCCAAATTGATCTGACGATTGATCAAACCTTCGTTATCTTCATGATAATTACTAAAAAATAAAGATATTTCTAATAGAAGATATTATGAAATAAAATACATACAATCGAACTAAATTTTTCTGTGGTTGGTTTGGTACAACTAGGTCTTGTTGTTGTATTTTATTTTTATTGTCTATAGACATGGTTGAAAATAACTACTTTTTTTTGTTAAAATATGTAATAAAAAGAGTTTGAAAGAAACGATGACAACTTTATAAGCACGATTCGTATCGAACACTCACAGCTGTTGCAATACAAATCGATTACTATAGCTGAAGAAAAGTGGAAAGAAATATTCACATTTAAACAAGGAGAGAAAGAAAGAGAACCGTCGAAAGTAAAATATCAATTCTACACATTTTAGAAAAGATATGTTGAACAAGAAAAATATATGAAAGAGGATAGGCACATATTCGTCGGAAAAGCAAGAAAGAGTAAAATAAAAATAGTTTGTGAATATTAAGAAAAGTATAGTAAGAATGATGATTGAAAAATAGGAAGAGACATTAGTACATGAAAACAAATTGCTATTTTCTTTAATATAAGGTTAGTCAGGTACATTTTATCCTACAAAATGGATGTGATATGGATTGATAGGTGTTGAATTTTGTGTCTGATTGTAGTGTATTATGAGAAAAGTCAGCAAAAACTATGATCTTCTTCTATTTAAATTGCATAAATGTTTCTGATTCTAACCGACACTATCTACAAAGAAACGCTTATTAGTATTGAACTTTGATGTTCTTGAAAATTATTAGCAAAGAATAAATAACAAAAATCGTATACTGAAAGTTTTTTTTGTTAACACCAATGTTATTTTCGTTTCGTTGATTACATAATATAAAATTGCAAAAGTGTTATTTGTATTAGATATTGTCATTATGAATTGTTTAAAACTAATATTTGGATATAATTTTTTTGTTAGATGATCATTATTATTATTCTCAGTACTCGAAAAGTTCCATATGTTGATGTTTTCGTAGCGCACGATGAAATTACAAATATTTACACTTCACGAGATTTTATAAATGTATTTTATCATCAATGGAACTTCATGCTACGATATTTAAGTTGAACATTTTCAACTGATCAATAGCATTTTCTTTGAAACCTAGCGGATTGTAGGTTATCGACCATGTTGATTCCGAATATTACCATAAAAAAATCCGCTTAGGTTTTTATATGCTATTTTTCTGAAAGATCAACTTTCTGAGCTAACAAATATTTTGCTGTTGCATTATGAATTATTCTATTTTTGTCTTATAGAAACTTTAATTTATTCTTTGTTATCTATTACAATCGACAGATTCAACATTTTTTTTTTGCGACACTCAGTATACTGAATTTTGTCAAAAGTTAATAGAGAATGATATCGTAATAATTATAGGTAAATATCTATTACTAAATAAAAATCTGAAGTGCTTTGTCTCTTTCACTTTCTTTTCTATATTTACTTTTGAAAGAGTTAAGTTCATTTAACAGATTTGTTTTGTTATGTTCATAAAGTATTTTTCTAGATCAGTCCAGTAAAACAGACTACGTTGATTTTTCGTTTCTTTTTTTTTTTGGAAAAAAAATGTGGAAACATAGAATTCTTCCAGCGATATGTATTTGTTATTAAGTAGTTAACAGCAATTTCAAGGTGATTCTACCAGAAATAACGTCATACTTGAACTTCACTTGATTGATGAAATGCTTTTTCAAAAATATCTTTACATAGGGTAGTGTATTGGATTGTTAATAAGGATAAATATGGCAGAGAACACTTAATGCCTTTTAGATGTCATAACAAAAATGGTCTTACGAATGGTAACTAACATACAGCAACACTGTTGATCGGTCTTGAGTATCCATAAGCATCATTTCGATAAAAAAAAATGAAAATACTATTACTATTTTTAATGATATATGAATTTGAAGTTTTTGCTTGACATATATGAAACATACTTGTCATGTTTTTTCTTAAATAGAAGAAGTTGTCTCAATAAATATAGTAAATTCTTTTGGTTGGTGTTTCTTATCTATCTTGGTGTCCGATTTATATGTCTTTATAACAAGTTTTGGATGCTTCTCATTGACATTACTGGAATCAATCTATTGATATTTCATATAAAAGAAGAATTTACTGAGCTACTGTATGCTGATGCATCTATTAAAGTAAGAATTTCCTTTTTTTTTTAGGAAGATTTTCTTGATCACATATTCCGATAACAGACATAACGGTTAATTAACTGTTTTGAATATTGAATCACGATGCAATTTTTGACGGCTTACTGCATTTGTATTCGAATAAGCAACCAATGACATGACAGGTGAACCTTTCGATACGCGAACCTGATATAAGGTACAAATTGAACAGAGCTCTTGGCCGTGTGTAGGCGAATAGAAGATTCATATACACACGCACACCTAAGCAGAAGCTCTGTTCAAGTTTTCATGCGAATGTGGAATTACTTAAGTGTCGGGAGGTTCATCAATCAGTGTACCCATCCGAACGAGATAGTTATCGATTTATTTTAATTTCAATCATACAATTTACAGGCATTGTTAGATAATTAGTCTTGCGTTTACAAGCTCAGCAATGCTTACGAATTAGAAATACTAATAGAAATTGTTTAAGACAAAACTTTACTTAGTTCATATTTCAGCGATTTATCAAACATGAACTTGTTTATTGAATTTACAATTATGTATCAATATACCATAAATACATGTCAAACTTGAAAGTTAAGAAGTTGAAATTCCAATATTCAAGTATTTCACGATAGTACACAGACAGGACGTCTCTTTCATTGAAGGTGCTATGAAACCTTAATACACATGAATAGCAACACTAAGAAGATAAATACTTGAGCAGTAGTTCAATAATAGAATTCAGCTTTCAAGTTCGACACAAGTGTTCCTTTTTTTAGAGCCTTTTTCAGAATTATTCATAAGTTTATCAAAACCAGAGATGTAATCGATACCGGTGATGAAGAATCCAGACTGATTCCATCTCGAACCAAAACAAATACGATAATGTACATACTAATCAATGATCTATCTAAAGAGTACTTCTACCAATCAAAATAGTTATAGATGACCTACTCTTATGTAAAAAGCTAATCTAAATTGCAATACAATAATTGTATTTGACGCTCATAAAACCAATCGATAAAATATTAAACGTATAATAGAAAACTATCATACGAATATTATTTACGTATGTTCGAAACATTGTTTGCAAAAGCTATTCATTGTTTGTAAGACTTGATAAACATCAAAATAAGCCGCGTAAGCATGATCATTCATTTGTATTCTTATGTGCAATCAACCATTTAAAAAAAACGTATTTTATATCGATGTTGAAAAAAATGCTAGATTTATTAATATATGAGTATAGAAGCACGATGATACGAAGCAAAATAGATAGACTTAATTAGTCCAAACGAATGTTACAATAATTTTAAAAAAAAACAAAAATAATAAGTTTGGATGAAAAATAAATTTTGATTGTTTTTTGGTATTTTTTATAGAATAAGCATGTAGGAAAAAAAAATGTTCTTATAATTATTTAATATTACACATTTAATCCTGAAGTTCTTCTTTATCAAAGATATATTCACCAAGACCAGGACCAACACGTCGTAAGTTGGTAATATAAC